CCAGAAAAAAATGGGGCAAAGAAACAAAATCTTGGACAGTCTGCCTTAAAAACATGTTTAATTTGTTTAGAACCAATAAAATATTTCAAAACAAGCATTTCAATAACATTTTACAATATGCATAATAATAATATCCGTGGAAAAAAGAATTCCAACAATAAAAACCAAGGACACTTGAAAGCAGTATGGCTAACACAATGTTAGGATACCATTACTGAAACAGATAAAACCCCTACAAAAATTCCAATTAAACTATTACTTGAGTTAGGAAAATTATCGCTGTAACAATGATCAGAGTTAAAAATCAACATCGAGCTTTTTTAAAAATGATATATAAGCAGAATATTAGCAGTGGAAATAAACCCTTTCTCCTTCTTCTTTCCCCATAAGTGTTTGTGCACTCAGCTATGACTATTTCCACACTTAAACATTGTTATACTAATTGTTGCCATAGGATAGTGCTTTGTGTAAAACAGCTGTTTTCTCATCAGTGCATTCTCTGCAAGATATTGTTGAGTACTAACATTGAATTATTTTAGACTTACTGTACATACATCTTAACTGATTACATAATATACAGTGGTCACTTGTAAAAAAATCCCAGTTTTTTAGATGTGCAAAAAATGAACAACCAGTTTATAATGCAGATGAATAAACAAGGCTACCTGCCCGGAAAAAAAATGCAAACGATTACTGTAAAAGATGACATACCAGATATCAGTATTAACAGAAGTGAAGGAATATATTACATACTATAGCCCCAATTCTACAAGAATTTATGCACATGTTTAACTTAATGCATTGTGAATAGTCTCAGAGTTCAGTGGGACAACTCCAGTATCATCAAATCCAAGTGTTCAAAAATCACGAGTAAGGCACACCAAAAATCATGATATTGACTTATCATCTCTAATATCATTAGCTCACAGACATTTACCTCCCCCCCCCATCCCTCCTGTGATTTGTCCTTTTCATATGTGTTCACTTTTTTTTATTGTATCCCTTTGGTATATACGGTCATGCCAGTTTTCTTCCACAATTTGATCTGAGGAAGTGGGTCTGGCCCACAAAAGCTCATCACCTAATAAACCATCTTATTAGTCTTTAAAGTGCTACATAGTCCTGTTTTTTGTTTCAGCTAGACTAGACTAATACGGCTATATTTCTATTAGGATTATAAGGAATAATTCAAGGGCCTCTTATTTGCCTTCTAATGTTTTCAGGCTGTTCTTTGGAACTATGAGGTCTAGAAACTTATTTAAAAATATATAAAAACTAAGAGTCTCAGAAAATAACAGGACTTCAGCAGCTGGTATTTTAAGAAAGACTCAAATTTAGGGATGTAATAATGTAGTTGATTAACCAATTAACCAATAAGCAAAAGCTTATTGGTTAATGCTATCGTCTACATACATTTCTTCCCCCCCCTCCACCAGCCATTACATTTTCTAGCAGGCTGACCTGCAGCCCATCTCAGTCCCAGTTTGCACCAGGTCCTGGACCTACCTCCACTGCAGCTCTGCATTTAAAATGTATTAGGATCTGGGCGAGCATGCAGCCTGGCTCAGTCCTGGCTTGCGCCGGGTCTGGGACCTACTCAGGGGCTGAGTCAGGCTGCTCGCCTGCCTGGCTCATAATATATTTTAAATGCAGACCTGCAATCGGGGTAGGTCTCCAACCTGGCGTGAGCTGGGACTGAGTGCTTTAATTGCCTTCCCTTACTCAGTAATTGTATTGTCAATAAAAATTCTATCAACTACACGATTAGCAAATTACCCACTTCTTAACATCCCTACACCAAATATCACATATCTTGTGATTAAAATTGTGAAATTATGTCATTGTTCATAGTCAACCATGTGCATAGTTTTGTAAGACCAGGACCTAAATAAATACTCAGCACCCAGTATAAAGGTTATCATACTCAACTATTTAT